TGGTTAAAGCTCTAAGTCTTCTTTGTCTGTAGGGACACGAAGACTCTGAATCGCCCTGCCCCAGTTTCCGCCCCCTTTGCCTCATCTCCAACACGGGCCTCACCCACCATCAATGGGCCCTGCCCACTAGCTCTTTGCCTCACCTCAGCACTGAGCCTCGTCCCACCCACCAGCGCTGGGCCCTGTCCAGGTGACACAGTTAGCCCCGCCTCCAGCCTGCCCATGAGCCCTGGGCCCAGCCTCCTTCCCACCCACAACTGCTTGGTCCGATCTCTGCCCCACCTACCAGCACTGGGCCCTGCCCACCAGTCCTGGACCTCTGCCTCTGCCCCGTTCACCAGCAGTGGGCCCTGCCCACCAGTGCTGGACCCCTACCTCTATCCTGCCCACGGGTCCTGGACCCCAGCCTCTGCCCCGCCCACCAACACTGGGCCCAGCCTCCACCCCACCCAACACGGCTTGGTCCTGCCTCCACCCCGCCCACCACCCCGGGATGTGTCCCTGCCACACCATCGATCTCATCCAGAGGGATCTGGCCGAAGATCTGCAGGTAGGGACGGTAGAGCACGCGGCGGAAGATCCAGTCTGGGCGGTTGTCGTGCGGGTGCAGCAGGGCCTGTGTGGTCACGCCGTAGGCTACGAGCCACACGCTCAGGAAGAAGAGGAAGAAGAAGACGTCCTTCATCTATGGGCAGGAGAGGCACGTTAGCAAGAGGGGCGCGGGTGCGGTCTGGGGCGAGGGGCGGCGCTCACCATGCGTTCCACGATGATGATCTTGGGCCCCAGCTGCTTGTGGACAGCGAAGATGTGGATAAGGCGCAGTGTGAACACCATGAAGTCAATGGCCAGCACGGTGCGGCCGGCCTCGAACACCTTCGGCAGCATCCTGGAGGGACGAGGCTGCGCTGGGGGCTGCGCCAAGGACGCACAGGCCCGAGGCCGGCACGAAGCCTGACTGCAGAGCCCCAAGGCGCCAGGCTTCCCCCAGCCCCCACAGGGGCTCCTGGGGCCTCTGGGCCACACAGACCTGCAGGTGACACCAACGATGAACAGGAAGATGGCCACCATGTCACACTTGTTCCAGTTGTCTTCCACGTAGATGGTGAACTTCTTCATCAGGTTCGTGTCCTCGTCGGTGAAGAAGCCCTGCTCGAGGGACAGTCTTGCTACAGTTCCTACCTCGGGCTGGCGACAGCCCTGCCTGGGCCAGGCTGGGACCGTCAGGGGTCAGAGCTTCCTTAGAGAGAGCCCACGGTTAAATCAGATCAAGGTCTCTGTGCAGAAGGTTTGGGTCAGTGTGCAGTGTTCACAGATGTGAGTACATCTGGCCTCTAATCAGTGTCAGGGGTTCCGATGAGGGAGACTGGCTCAGTCCAGAGCAGGACGTAGGGATCATGGGTCAGGGTTCAGTGCCCAGGGGGGATTAGAGCTCGGGGCTCAGTCTCTGCCCAGGGACAAGGTTCCTGTGTCAAGGGCCCCTTGTGCCGCTGCTTAGCCTGCAGCTGAGAACTGGTGGTCGGAAAAGCAGGCTCAGCCCTCAACTGACCTGTCGGATCTCCTCCAGCACCAGAGTGAAGACCCAGAAGTACAGGGCGACCTCGGGAGCCGAGGGCCCCTGGGGCGGTGGCCGGAAGTCCACCAGCAGGACGAAGGTGAACAAGAAGAGAAAGGCGAAGTACATCACCACGTTCCCCAGGAACACGGTCACGGGTGCTCCCCAGAACTTCCGCCAGCGGGTGAGCAGGGAGGCAGCCCAAGGCCCCCCAGGGTGGTGCAGAGCTTTCTGCGACTCCTCCAGCTCGTCCATCCTATGGGCAAAGGAGGCCCCAGCAGAGACTGGCTAGGGGGCCCCACAGAACCACCTCAGCCCGCGCTCCCGTGATGCCTTGCCCACTGTGGCCAGTACCTGCTGCCAGGGCTGCAGAGCAGGCTCCTCTCGGTGTCCAGGCTGTCCAGCTCCTGTAGGGCCTCCGGGTGTGCCTTCAGTGGGTCCTCCTTGCTGTGGGCATGGGGCACTCATGCCAGGGAGTCCCAGAGACACCCCTTGGCCCCAGGCACCCACTAGCCAGGAGTCTCGCGTGCACACCAAGGATGAAGGCCACCGCTCGGCCGCTCCTGGAGGCTGCTGGGAGAGCTCTGGGGGAGGCTCTGGGAAGGGGCATGGGCATGGGGAGGGGATGCAAGCCCCCTGCCCACCCTGGAACCCAGGGCAGCCAGCAGTACCTGAAGGTGATCAGAGTGGTGTAGAGGAGGGGAGGACAGATGAAGGCACCCAGCAGACACAGGATGGGGGTGCCAGCGGCCATGTCCCCCCACCAGATTCGTGTGAGAAAGGCCTGGTGGGAACATACCCTTAGGCCTTAGGACCTCTCTCCACCCTGGAGAGCTTTGTGCAGGGTGAGCCTGGGGGTGAGCGGAACACGGGACGGTGTGTTCTGTGACGGCCACGGTGGGAGGACGCACCCACCTGCACACCGTCGTGGGCGAAGAAGGCCTTGGCGTCGGCCTCGGCGGCCAGGTGCAGGCAGGTGGTCTTGCCCCAGCTGCGGTTCCTGCGCACGAGCAGCGCGAACGCCCGCTCCTCGCTGTTGCTGTAGCACTCGGAGAACAGGTCTGGTGGCGCCGGGGTGCAGCACTGAGGAGGCTGGCCAGAGCCCCCGCCGACCTCCTCCTCCTGCACCCGGCCTGCTGCCCGCCGCCTCCACCTCTCGGCCTGGAAACACCGCCAACCTCACTGCCCCCACCTGCCCCTCTGCCTTCATTTCCCAGCAGCTTGTCATTGGAAGCACAGGGAACAGCCTCAAAACTCTTGCCCCAAGTGTCACTGACCCCTCCAGCTCGAGTGACCTCCAAGTGCCCCTCACTCCTCCAGCACGAGTGACCCCACCATCCAAGTATCCCTGACACCTCCAGCTGGAGTGACCCCACCCCCAAGTGTCCCTGACCCCTCCAGCTCCAGTAGCCCCACCCCCAAGTGTCTGACCACCGATAGCTCAAGTGTTCCCACCCCAAAATGTCCCAACCCCCAAGCGTCCTTGATTGCTCCAGTGTCCCCAGGCTTTGCAGCATCCCTGCCTCCAAGTGGCCCTGTTTCAGAGCATTTCCCACCGAGTGTTTCATCGGTCCTCAAATGTGACCTGACCTCTGAACATCGCCCTCCCAGTCCACGCAGGGCCCTGATGCCTGCCTGGCTGGGCTATGTCCTCATCACTTTCCCGAGCCCCTCACTCAGGATTCCAGGCCCTGTCCACCCAGGAAGCACAGGAGCAGGGGACTCCTCTGTCCCCTCCCCACTCACCCAGGGCCAGCTGCTCGTACTTGGCCTCACGCATAGTGCGGGCCACCTCGGCCTCCGTCTCCAGGTGGGACATCTCTCTGAGGATCTTGCACGCAGCCAGCGCAGCGGCCACACCCTCCTGGCCCTGGGACACCAAGTCCAAGTGGACACCTCTCAGTCCTCCTCCCACAAAGGGCCCTAGAGAGTGTGTCCCCTTTGCAGAGTCTGAGGGTCGGAGGAGCCTTGCCCAGGACCACAGGACTGTGGGCACGCTCACCATTGCCCAGAAGTAGGTGGCCATGTCATGGCGGTTCTGCAGCACAGCCCACAGGAACAGGTCGCGCCAGGGGTCCTCACTCTTATGGTTCAGGTCCAGTGGCCACTTATGCCCCGTTGACCTCTTTGCTGAAGCCTTCTCCTGAAGGGCACAGACATCTGCTTCTGAGTCTGGGCCCCCGTTTGCCCAGCATCCCTTCACCGTTGACCATGCCCTCACCACTAGCCAGCTCCACCTCCGGCCACGCCTTCACATCTGCCCAGCCTCTGCAGCCCGTACTGTCAGTCCCGTCCACTGTCTCGTCCCACTCCTCACTGCGTCTCCACCACTGCGCCCCTATCCCATCAAGCTCCATCTCACCCTCACCACCGACTCTGCTCTCTCAGGAATCCAACTCCACGGGTCCAGCAGCCCTCATCACCAGCCCCGCCCACACGGCCGGACCCCGCCCCTCGCCACAGGCCACACCCCCTTCCACAGGCCCCACCCTCCCTCTCCACTGACCCCACCCTCCCCTCCACTGACCCCACCCTCCCTCTCCACTGACCCCACCCTCATTGACACCCCCCCAACACTGCCTGGTGGCCACCCCACCCCCTCAGGTCCCTCCCCCACCCTCCTGAGGACCCGCCCAGTGTCCAGCAGCACCTTCCCTAGGCCCCACCCTGGTGTCAGCCGCACCCTCCTCGCCCTCACCGCCGGCCCCCGCGTCCCCTTGGCCTGATAGAGGCCCCGGCAGGCATCGTGCAGGAAGTCCTTGAGCACGCGGGAGACCTCGTGCAGGGAGAAGGCGGGCAGCGCGTCGGGCGCTTCGCGGGCCTGCTGTGCGCCCAGGCCGGCCAGCGTCAGGCGGCCTTCCTCGAGTTTGCGCTGCAGCAGCTCGAAGAGCAGGCTCTTGGGGGACACGGCGCGGTACAGCTGCTGCAGCCGGCCGTAGGTCAGGAAGTCCGCCACGTCCGCGCCGTTGTCCACGAAGAGGCGCACGAACTCAGGCTTGTCATTGACCAGAGCGTCCATCATCACCTCCTCCAGGTCGCGGGACTGCGCAAGGAGGCAGGATGGGGACAATGGGGTCAGTGCCTGGGCTGTGGGCACAGGACGGGGGCTGCTGGCCGCCCTGGGTGCCTGGCCAGGCTGGCTCAAGGCTGGGCATGCAGGAGGCCAGCCTACAGCACTGGGGACCCCGATCGCCAGGACACTGCGTGCCCCAGGTCCCCGGGTGCGCCCAGGGTGCACCTGGTCCACCCAGCAGAGGAGGGGGGCCCACCCGACCTAGGTGATGAGGGTGGAGGCGGGCACCTTCCACTCCACGTCTCCATTGAAGATCTCATTCTTGGCGATGTCCACACGGCCCCAGGCCACCGCCAGCTTGAGCTCATCCAGGTAGTGCTGGGCCTCCTGGCTGTGGTTCCTGCAGGCTGCAGGCAGAGTCATGGGGGAGGGGTCTGCAGCGCCCTGCACGCAGGCTCCTCAGAGGTGGGCATTCGGAATGTGTCAGCACTGGCCTTTGCATGAAGATTGTGGGATATCGTGAGCTGATCGCATAACATGAGAGGCACAGGCTTGGCCAGGAGGGTGCCCCAAAACCTGCAGGAAGTGCTTGAATCATGGGTAGAAAGATCACCTCATATCCCCTGCTGGGACAGATGGGTCAAGCCGGGAGGCCTGGCCTGTTCCCCAGTGAGGGGCACCTTCTCCAAGCCTCTTCCTGCCTCCAGTGACCTGGGCAGTAATTGGGTGAAGGAGAAGTCTACCAGGCCCCTCCTGGCACTGGCTCTTTGGGAGAGAACAGATAGCCATCTGGCTGTGGGAGGTCCACTTGGGTCAGACCATAGCAGGGCCCTGGCCCAGAAGATGTGGCCATTTACCTGGCCCTTGGCAAGCCAACTTCATAGTGCTCAGGACTGCCCAAGACAATGAGGTCCTCTCACAGGGGGAGTGGGGTTCAGCCAGCTTCAGCTGGACTTATATTGTTGGGGAGCAGATATGGTACCTTGACAGAGGAGCCTGACCAGACAGAAGTGTGTCCACCCCCCACCTTGGGCGCATGGCGGCTGCCAGTGGTCAGCCTCAGCCACACACATCTCTCTGGTCAGGAGCCAGAGTGGCCACAGTGCCAGTGTGCATCTGCATGCAGATGGGTGAATGAAGTATCATCCACCGGTCCAATGAGGCATCACGCAGCCCGTAGAGAAGTGGCACAGGGGGACCTGAGGTACAGTGTGATATAGCCAGTACAGAAACACCTACTGCTGTGTGACCCTGTTCCTATGTGATGACCAGGACAGGGGACTCCACAGGGACAGAGAATGGTCTTGGAGTTGGAGAAATGGGAAGTGGCCACCCCTGGGGCCAGAGTTTCTTTTTGGAGTGATGAGAGAATGTTCTAGAAGTAAATAGTGGCAAAGATTGTGCAATTTTGTGACTGTACAGAAAGCAATGGAATGTACTTTCACATGCTCCATGTGGCATGAACAATTGGGCAGTTCCTGGGGCTCACAGGGAGGCATCAGGCCCTGCTCTGGGCACAGGGTTCTGGGGGTCTGAGTGGTGGCGTGGACAAGTGGCCACCCCTGTCCCCATCCCTGCCTTGTCCTGTGCCCTGAGGGGACATCCCCCCCCGAAAATTCAGCAAACCTCCAAATTGCCCTGCAGTCCCTGTGGGTGTCCAGCAGGCACCACCCACTGGCCTCACCTTTAACCAGCGCCTTCAGGATGACCGTATCAAGCTCCTCGGAGCCGTCCTGCTCAAAGTCGTACACGGTCAGCAGATGCTGCTGCCTGGTGATAGTCTGCAGCTGAGAAGGTGTGGGGTCAGTGTTGATGGCTCAGAGTGGCTTTCCAGCCATAGGCTGGACAGTGCCTCACGGGCATCTGGATCACACAAACAGGGTGGGCTGGTCTGTCCAAAGGGGATTGGCTTGTCTTGCCGTGAAAGTGAGTGGCTTCAGCAGCAGAACCTGGGGGGAATCTCGCATGCAGAAAGAAAGAAGGAGGAGAGAAGACAGTGTGCGTCCTCCGGGGCCAGTCAGACCTGGACCTACAGGAGCGCAGCGGCCACAGCTGAGAACAAGAGACCTGCTGCAAGGCGTGAGCCAGAGCTGACCTGGGACTGCTGCCCCGTGGACCCAGAACCAGGGGCCTTCACCTAAGCTTGCTGTAAGACTGAGGGCTTAGAAGACTCATCAACAACCTACGTTATACAGATGACACAAACTTGTTTGCAGAAACTGAGGACCTGAAGCGCTTGCTGCAGAAGGTCAAGGACTGTAGTCTTCAAAATGGATTGAAGCTCAACATCAAGAAAACAAAGATCTCACCACTGGGCCAACTGGCAGCACCATGATAGATGGAGAAGAGATTGAAGTTGTTAACAATGACAGCTTGCCCAGATCCACAATCAATACTTTTGACATTAGCAGTCAGGAAATCAAAAGATGACTTGCATTGGAAAAAATCTGCTGTCAGAGACCTTTCCAGAGTACTGAAAAGGAATGATGTCAGTCTAGAGACTAAGGTGTGCCTGATCCAGGCCATGGTCTTTGCAACCATGTGCTATGCATCAGAGAGCTGGACAATGACTAAGGATGACAGAAGAATCGATACCTTTGAGTTGTGCTGGAGAAGAGCCTTGAACATACCATGGATCGCCAAGAAAACAAATAAGTCTGGCTCAGAGAGGGTGAAACCAGGTTTCTCCTTAGAGGCCAGGAATGTGAAGCTCTGTCTCACATACTCTGGGCGTGTGGCCAAGAGGAAGCAGTCCTTGGAAAAGGACGTCGTGTTTGGAAGGGTGGAAGGACAGCACAGGAGAGGAAGACCCCAGATGCGATGGGTTGATACGGTAACTGGGGTAAAGAGGGTAGGTGAGACCAGCTCAGAAGAGGGCAGGCTTCGGAGCCGTAGTACACAGGACCTCGCAGGGGACTTGATGGCTCACAACAACAAGAACAGATGTTTGTGACCCTGGCCTGAAGACAAGGCTGAAGGCTGAGTGCCTGTGAGCACACTTCAGAAGCTGTCCCGACCAAGAGACTGTATCCTGCTGCCAACTTGAAGTGGTAATGAACCTAATAAACCTCATGAATGGGATTATGTTTCTGTGTGGTCTGTGTAGCGATTACAGTGGGTTTCAGACCCACCAAAGCAGTAGCATTGGTGCTGGAATTAGTGGAAAGGGGCAGAAGTGTTCGTGGTGATGGTGGTGGAAGGTATGTCTGACCCCATGGGAATCGGTTTTGTGCTGTGGATGCTATTGATGGGGACAGTTCCCCCACGTGGAGTTGGTAGAGGCCAGATATGCCATCCTCACTCTTTTTACAGGAGGCCATGCAGAGGCCTGAGAGGACACAAGCCAGGCGTGACCACAGACAGCGGGTCCTGTGGCCAAGGCCCCCTTCACAAGGATCTGAAGCAAGCCCTCAGGGCATCCACAGGGATGCACAGCCCGGGGGTGGGGGGATGTGTGGCTGTCATACGGGAGGAGGGTTGGGTTTCCCACCGTGCCCACATACCAGGCTGGTCCAGTGCTCCATGTCCTCCGAGGAAAAGTGCTCGCTGGGGAACTTCTCCTTAAAGTGCTTCTCAGCCATCTGGGGCTCCAGAAGGTGGGGTTGGTTCATCAGTGCTGTGAGGATGTCAGCGATGCCACCCGAACCTGCCAGGATCAGCCATGGGGTCTCGTGCTCCAGGGCCTGAGAGATCCTCTGTGGGGGGAGAGGGAGGAGAGAGGTGGGGAGAGGATCAGGGAGCGAGGGGGATATGGAGGGTGAAAAGGGAAGAAGGTGCCCGGGGAAAGAAGGAGAAGGAGCCAAGGGACAAAAAGGAGGGGAGAGAGGGAAAGGGGGAAGAGAGAGAGGAGAGGGAAAGGGAAGAGGGAGAGAGGGAAATGGGGGAGAGAGAGAGAGAGGGGAAGGGGGAGAGAGAGGAGAGAGGGAAAGAGGGGAGAAGAGAAAGGGGAGGAGAGAGGAGAGAGGGAAAGGGGGAGGGAGAGAGGAGAGAGGGAAGGGGAGGGAGAGGAGGGAGGGAAGGGGGAGGGAGAGGAGAGAGGGAAGGGGGAGGGAGAGGAGGAAGGGGAGGAGGGAGGGAGAGAATGAAGGAAGAGAGGAGGGGAGGAGTGAGGAGGAGGAGGGAGAGAGGAGGAGGGTGGAAGAAAGGAGGGGAGGAAGGAAGGAGAGTGGGGAGAGGAGGAGAGAAAAGGGAGGAAGGAGGGAAAGAGGAGGGGAGATAGGAGGGGTAGGAGGAAGAAGGGAGAGAGGAGGTGAGGGGGAGGAGACAGAGAGCAAGAGGGAGGGAGGGAGTGGGAGAATGGAGGGGGGGAAGGGGAGAGGAGGAGGTGAGATGAGGGAAGGAAAGGGAGGGAGCAGGAAGGAGGAGTGAGCCAAGGAGAGAGGGAAGAGGGAGAGCGGTAAGGAGTTGGAGGGAGATCAGGGGAGAGGAAAGGAAAGAAATGAGGGAGTTTGGAGGGAGACAGGAGGGTGGGAGGAGGAAAGGAAAGGAGTGATCAGAGAGGGAGGAGAGGGGAAGGGGAGGGGAGGAAGGACAGAGGGAGGGAGGGGAGGGGATGGAGGGAAGGAGGAGGGGAGGGAAGAGGGAGGGAGGGAGGAAAGGGGAGGGAGGAGGGAGTGCTTAAGGACAAGGAGTGAGGGAGGAGGGGTAGGGGAAGGAAGCAGACAGGGAGAGAGGGCAGCAATTACAGTGCAGGGAAGAGAGAACAGATGCCACAGTCAGCCCCATCCCCATCATGATGTGCCCACATCCCACCCCTCCCATCTCTGGACCCCTTGTGGGGTCCTCCTCCATCCATGCCCCTACCTCCAGGGTGCTGGGGTCCCCGTTGACCAACAGGCAAAGGACTGGGATCTCAATGCTGCCAGTGCCTGTAAAGCATTGGGGGGTGAGGACCCACGAACGCACACAGGAGACGAGGGAAAGAGGGTCCTGGGACCACCAGGCCTCAGTGTCCACCTGCCACCCTTGCTTCAGACTGCACATCAGGAAACGTTTATTACAAGCTCTGGGCCTGGACCCCGTGCTCCATCTGTGCCCTCGACGATGGGACTTGGTGGTCACAGCTGTGCCGTCAGGGATGGGAGCTGGGCAGCCATGGTTGCCACCTGGCTCTTGGACTGGGTTAACAGGTGGATCAGCCCAGCTCTGGTCTAGGTGTCAGCTGGAGACTGATTCCCAGGAAAGGGACAGGAGGGACAGCAACTTGGCTTAAGAGCCATTCACCCGGATGCCATACTCATCCCCGCCAGAGGGTGGCACTGTGACAAGGACCATCTAGAGATGTTCAGAAATATTTCAAGTGACCTGAAGGAGGGGTAACTCCCCTTCCAACGGTAGCAGGAGGGAAAGAACAAGGTTCAGCGTGTGCCACACCTTCCAGAGTCAGATGCCAACCACCAACAGCCCCACCCCACCCCCGCCAACCGCACTGCACGGACAGCTACAGATAATCACACAGACACCCACTGGCTCATACCCACCACCAGGAAAATGGAGGAAATGAGAACAAAAAATCTTTAAACCCACAAGGTCCCAGAAGAACACAGAGGCATCAAAGTGCACAAAAAAAAAAAAAAGAGGCCGTTCCCCTAAAAAAGCCATCAAAACAGTGTCAGTGCATTTCCCCAAGGGGGAGGGCTGGGGGGCTCTGACATGGAATTCAGAAGAACATGGACAAGAGTTCCCACTGGATGAAAGACAAAGATGAAGAGTTGGAGGAGGGCTATAAGCCAAAGCCTAGAGCACAAGACAGAGTGGACGAACGCAGTGAAGATACTTCAATAGAAACCACAAAACCAAGAAAGAGTAATCCAGAGTCACACAACCACCATCTGGGAAGCTGTCGACAAGCGAAGGGACAGAGCAGGGGAGGTGAGGAAATGAACACAGGGTCAGCGACACAGAAGATGAGCCCCAACACTGACCTGTTAGAGGCAAAAACGAAACAAAAAGGAAAAAGAGCCTGAAAATTATGAGGGACCTCGTCAAGAGACAAAGCATGTGTACTTGGAACCTGGGAAAACTGTGGGAGAATTACTGGAGGAAAACTTCCAAGGTATCATGAAACATGGGAAAATATGACCCTGGAGGACATTCTGCTGAGTGAAATATCTCAGTCACAAAAGTGCATAGTGCCACTGTAGTAAAACAAGACTGACATCAGGGTTGGGGGGAGACTGAGAAAGATGGGATAAATAATGTATACTGCATTGAAACAGATGAGGGAGAGAACTGTTGAAAAGGGATATGTGATTACGTATTTTTGTCATGACAGGAGACCATAGCAAAGGCTGCATAGTGGAGTGGACCTGGAGGGAAGGGTTGTAAAACAATGAAAGAATTTCTCTTTTACTTTTCAAAGAAAATAGTGTACTGGGAGGGGGAGGAGGGACAGGGAGAAGAATGCAATAATGAATGAATGGAAATCCAAAGTCTCTGTGAATTTTCATTAAAATGAATAATAAAATTTTTTTTAAAAAAAATGGGAAAATACACATCTAAAGAACTGAGTGAACCTCAAATAGAATTGACCCCAAAAGAAAAACACCAAGGTGTAGCATAGTCAAATTCTCCAGAATCGAAAAGGAGAGATTGCGGGCCGCTTCCGTAAAGGTTCATTGTTGACTCAGTTACAAAACGGGCTGCAGACGAGAGGAGACTCAGACAGCAAACAAGCACACGAACTGCTCAGGACACGTGGCTAGCAGAGAGACACAAAGCACGGCCACGTGAGAAAGCCATCATCCCACGCACATAAATCCGCTGTCCCGACAGCAACGTTCATCAGGGCAGCAAACAACAAACACTGGCGAGGTGGCAGAGAGATTGGAACTCATAGTCACTGTGGGAGAATTGTAAAATGGGACAGCCACAATGGAAGGGGGTCTGATGCCTCCTCAAAAGTTGCAAATAGAAGTATCCTTCTCTCCAGCTGCTCCACTACTGGGAATATTGTTGTTGTCGTTGTTATGTGCCATCGAGTCATTTGCGACTCATAGTGACCCTACGACCCCACCCTACGTACAACAGCCCTAAACCCTGCTTGATCCTGTGCCAATCGCATTGCCTCTGACACTCCCATCCCAATTATCCCAGTCACTGAATCAATCCATCTCATAGAGGGTCTTCCCCTCCTGCGCTGTCCCTCCACCCTACCAAGCATGACGCCCCTCTCCAAGGACCTGTCCCTCCTTACAACATGTCCAAAGTATGTCAGACGAAGCCCCAGAATCCTGGCCTCCAAGGAGTAGCCTGGTTTAACCCTCTCCAGGATGAATCTGTTTGTTTTCTTGGCAGTCCAGGGTACCTCAATACTCTTCTCCAGCACCACAGCTCAAAGGTGTCAATTCTCCTTCTATCCTCCCTAGTCATTGTCCAACTCTCTGATGCATAACAAGTGATTGCAAAGACCATGGCCTGTATCAGGTGCACCTTAGTCTCCAGAGAGACACCGTTGCTCTTGAGTACTTTAAAGAGGTCCCTAACAGCAGACTTTCCAATTGCAATACGTGTTTTGATTTCCTGGCTACTGGTTCCAAGAGTGTTGACCGTGGAGCTGAGAAAACTGAAGCTGTGAACAATCTCAATCTCTTTGCCATCCATCCTGATGCTACCGATTGGTCCAGTGGTGAGAATATTTGTCTTCTTAACATTGAGCCTCAGTCCATACTGAAGGCTGTAGTCCTTGACCCTCTGCAGCAAGTACATGAGGTCCTCCTCAGTTTCGGCAAGCAGGGTTGTGCATTGCTAATAGATTTTCCACCAATCCTGATGCCACAATTCTCATAGAGCCCAGCCTCTCAGATAATCTGCTCTGCATACATGTTGAAAAGGTATGGAGATAGGGCACATCCCTGGCGTACACCCTTCCCAATTTTGAACCATGCAGTGTTACCCTGCTCTGTTCTGACAACTGCCTCTTGGTACAAGAATAGGTTTCACATTAGCACAATTAAATGTTCTGGGATTCCCATTCTTCTCAGAATCAGCCACAGTTTGTTATGATCCCCACAGTCAAACACCTTTGCATAATCAATGAAACACAGATAGACATTCTTCTGGTATTCCCTGCTTTCAGCTAAGATCCATCTAACATCAGCTACAATATCCCTAGTACCACGACCCCTTCTAAACACAGCCTGGACTTCTGGCAGTTCTCTGCTGATGTGCTGTTCCAGTCGATTTTGGATAATCTTCAGTAGAATCTTGTTTGCATGTGAAATCAATGATATTGTTCTGTAGTTTCCTCACTCAGTTGGGTCACCCTTCTCTGGAATGGGAACAAATATTGACCTCTTCCAGTCAGTTGGCCAAGTGGTTGTTCTCCAGATTTCTTGGCACAACTTGGTGAGCACGTCCAGGGCAGCATCTGTTCGCTGAAATATGTCAATTGGTATACCATCTATTCCTGGGGCCTTATATTTTGCTATTTCCTTCAAAGCAGCTCGAACTTCTTCCTTCATCACCATAGGCTCTTGCAGAGCTATGACACAAACAGATGTCTGAACACCCATGTTTATTGCTGCATTATCCCTGATACAAAGAGATGGAAGCCCAAGTGCCCATCCACAAAGGAATGTGTAGACAAACTGTGGTACAGACACACAATGCAGAATTACATGGTGCTGAAAAAACAGTGCACTTGTGAAACGTCATATAGTATGGATGAGGGTGGAAGACATTATGCTGAGTGAAATATCTCAGTAAGAACAGGACAAATATTGCATAAGATGACTGTTACAACAATAGGATGGATACGGCGGAGAAGGGGGCACGGGAGTGTAGGGAAATAATGGATATATAATTCCTGTACTGGAATAGGTGAAGGAAGTTCAATCTGAAGTGAGCAGACCATCAGATGTTACCTTTATTGCCATTAACAGTCTGGACCTGATTAAACGGCATGATGAAGGGGGAAGAAATGAAGATGGAAGCCCAGAGGTGGCAGGGGCAGGAACCCCACTCCAGCATGTTCAATTAGGTTAAATGGCGGACATGTGCTGAGGCACCCCAGGGGGGTAAATTGTCAAGACAGGGGACCCCATGTAGTGCAGTTAGAGAAGTGCTCCATTGCTAACCAAAGGTTGAAGGTTTGAGTCAAGGCAGAGTCATCTCAGAGGCCTGGTGACCTGCCTTGGAAAAGCCAGCCTCGGAGGACTGATACACATGGGTCACTGTGATTTGGGGTCCACTCAGTGACGTCTGGGTTTTGGTGCCAACCACAAGCCAGAAATGAGGATTCCTGTGTGAACCGTCCCCGCTCCCAGATGTCCTAAGCTGCAGGGGTCTCCCAAAAATCACTTAGTTAGGGACTTTGAACCTCAAGTGGGTGGCCAGTCTTAGAATCAGTAACCCAGAGGGAAGCAGACCCTCTTACATCTAAATCAAGAGGAAGGAATGATGAAGTGAGAGCTGAACAGAGGATTGCAAAGGGCAGCAGGAGAAGACAAAGCAAAGTATTGCAGCACAACGTGCAAAGAATTAGAGTTAAAAAGCCAAAAGGCAAGAGCTTACTTGGCATTTCCCAAGCTGAAAAAACAAAAAAAAAAATCAAGCCTTGAGTTGCAAGACTGAGCGAGAGTCTCCAGGAAAACTAGTGAATGATTCAGGAAGCATCAACGGGTGAGGGAAGGAACACACAGAGTCACTGGGCCAAAAACAATCAGTTGGTACTCAGTCATTTTGCCAGCTAGGACATGATCAAGACCCAGGAGTGCTGAAGGAGGGAAGTCCTGGCTCCTCTGAAGGCACTGGGGGAAAAGAATTGACAGGATGCTGACTGAAATGGGTCAACAAACAGACGCAGCCCTCTCCAAGCTCACCCACTAAGCCAAGAAATTTGGGCTACAGTGACCTGGCCAATCAACTGCAAGGGACTCATACTTGTTCTCATTACAAAAGGAATCCAACAGAATGTGGGAATTAATGAGCAATATCGTTAATGTATCATGCAAGTAAAATATTGCTGAAGATGCGTAAAAAACCCCACCATGGCTAGAACAGTACGTTGGTAGGGAACTTCCACCAATTAAAGCAGGATGAACAGGAGTGGAAGGAAGATGTCATTGCTGATGTCAGATGGATCTTGGCTGAAAACAGACGAAGCTAGAAAGAAGTTTACCTGTGCTTTATTGATTATGAAGACAGACAACTGACTGTGTGAATCATAACAAATTCTGGCTAGCATTCAAAAGAATGAGAATCCCATAATAATTACGCTTAGGAGAAACTTATACCTAGACCAAGAATATGTTTATGAAAGCAAAGGAAAACGGCATGGTTTAAAATCAGGAAAAGTGTGTGTCAGGGCTGTATCCTTTCTCCATATCTATTCAATCTGTCTACTGAGCAAATCATTCTAAAGGCTGGACTTTATGAAGAAGAAAATGACATTCGGATTGTAGGAAGACTCAACAACCTCGCCTATGCAGATGACACAACCTTGCTTACAAAAAGCGAAAAGGACTTGAGGCACTAACTTCAGAAGATCAAATATGGGTTACACCTCAACATCAAGAAAGCAAAACTCCTCACAATGGACCAACAGGAAGCATAATAAATTTCATCAAATGATATATCATTTGATATATCAAATGCACTGGGAAAAGTCTATTGTCAGGGACTCCAAAGTGCTGAAGAACAATGATGTCAGTTTATCAACTCAGGTGTTCCTGATTCAGAGCATGTATTTTCTATTTCTTTTTATGCATCTGAAAGTTGGACAATGAATGACAGAAAAAGAATCAATGCCTTTTAGTTGTGTTCTTGGAGAAGAGTACTGAGTACCCAAGGAACTGCCAAGAGAACAAACAAGACTGTCTTGGAAGAGGTGTCCCAGTGTGCTCTTTAGAGACGAGAGTGGGGAAACTAGGACTGTCATGTTTGTCATGTGGTCAGGAGACGACGCTAGACCTTGAAAGAAGACACCATGATGCTGGGAAAGGGAGAGAGAGAGAGAGAGAGAGACAGAGAGAGAGACAGAGAGACAGAGAGAACATGCTGAAGAGAGGGAGACCCTCTGAAAGATGGATTGCCGCAGTGACTAGCGGTCAGGGGTGATGGTGCAGGATGGGACAAGGCTCCAATCTCCGGTCCCAGGGCCTCTGTGAATGGTAATTGACTTGGTGACACCTAACAGCTGGCAGAGCTATGCCCATTCCCGGGGGTGGAGTATCTCTGGCCAGAGGAGGACAATTTAGCACCTAAGTCTCATCACATACTGCCCAAACCCCACCTCGTCCCTGTTGCAGGAGGCCAGGGTCCCAGGCTAGGCAGGATGGAGGCTTGGCATTCAACTGCCCAGCCAAGGGCCTCCCAGCACAGCCCCTGCCCCCGTCCCTGCCCGTGGATTCTCACCGCCGTAGCCTGTCCTCTGCTCTGAGATGTGCTTCTCCAACCGCAGCCGCAGCTCTGTGGATCCGTCCGCTGTCCTGGGGGTGCTGTCCCCAACGAGGATGAGGTGTGAGTAATTGTTGTCCAGGGGACACAGCAGGCCCTGGCTGTCGCTGGCATCTTCTGGGTAATGGATTGGGATGTCCTCCTGCAACCACAGGGTAGACAGGGAGGTGTCCTCAGGAGGCAGTGGGCCCACTCGAAGACCCTCCTTCAACCCAGAGGCCCTGAGACAGTCTCCCCAGTCTACGGCTGGACTCAGAGGACCTGCTGCAGCCTTTCTCAGACTTGCCCCATTCTGAGGGGTCACGGGCAGAACAGAGCAGTTCTATCACACGGAGGGCGGGGGTGGCCAGGTCATTAGTGCTTCTGCATTGAGACCCTGGTTCCCATCACCACCTGGGCGACTGGCAGTATCCTCTCCACTCCTCCTTTGCTCCTTCCCTCCCTCTCCTCTCCCTCCTCCTCTCACTCTCTCTCTCCTTCCTCTCCATCCTCAACTCTTCTTCACCCTCCCTTTAATCTCTCCCTCTTCTCCCTCTGTCTCCCCCTCCTCCCTCTCCTCCCCCTCCTCTCCCCTCCCTCTTCCCCTCTTCTC